ACAAAACCATTATACCCTGATTTCCCATTTTCAATGGGTTCAGGGTATAAAAAACGAATCAATTGAAAGTGTTTGTTTGAATAACAAAGAAAGCACAAATAGATATGAATGTTCTAAGTGTGGGTCTTAGTACAGTGTGCATACAGAATAATAAGCCATATGAAACTAAAAACACTCTAGTCATTAACTGATCTCAACTAAAATTAATTATAGAGCAAATTAGAGTGATCCTAACTTTTTGTAACGCAAGATTTGTCAAGTAAGAAATTAATATTATCAAGTCTATAGATAGCAACTTAAAATTTAAGTTCACTATATCGTCTGTGGACTGATACTTTGTGTTGACTACATATTTTTTATGTAATTTTCGAAACATGAGAATATAATTTTCACAGTCCACCCACGAAAAATATATGCACCACTTGTCTACTTACATTATAATCCCCATTTACGGAGAGTTTAACGCGCAGCTCTGTACTATTGGGCTCCCGTAGCAGATGTTTTTCAAATTCCCTTCGCAGCGTTCGTTTATCCACGTACCAACTGTTACGCGCGCTCACCACCTGGATCTCAGCCATTTTTAGTAGAAAGGAGCCAATTAACTCGCGCTCTAAGGATTTTTTTTTTTAAAGATATTAATTGAATGCAGAAGTAATAATAAGCACAATAAAGCATAGTAGTTAATGCACTTACCCCATGGCTTGCGTTGCTGTATGGCTTGGAAATCAGCATTGTTGCTATTGTGGTTGTTGGTTGTTAAGTTTTTGTTGTTTAAGCTTACAAATGATGTTGACGGCGGCGTCGCTGGCGGCGTCAAAATGGAAGGTGGCATTGTTGCTATATTTGTTACTATTTTTAATCTATTGACAGGGATCGCCTTCTTTTGGCCATTGGCCTTTTTTTGAATTTTATTTTTTGTCATAGTAAATACGTACAAAGGGACGAAAATGATTTGCACAGTACTTACAAGCACGCACACACGCGCTCGATCTCTTACACACACACACACACACTGCACACGCACACCCACACTAGTGTACACTGACTCACAGTAGGAGTGCCAAAAAATAAAACGAATTAATAGCACTCTGGATTCTGGTTTCTAAACTGTAATTAAATACGGATTTTGTTTGAGTACACAGATCAACGATCGCATACACACACAAACACACACTATCGAGATTGCAATGTTTCGCGAACATTTGTTTTTGCACTGAACAAAGAACAACCTGCGCACCGCAATGGTTCAACGGTAAATGACAAAAATGCAGCTATCAGAGCTCTTATATATGTACACACATATATGCACATGAGCTTAGAATTACGATTCGATATTGATCTGGTAGCTGTTAACAGAAATCGAAGATGCTGATGCTGATTCACTCACGCTCTTGCAAGCGAGCGTTGTGCTCGGCTGATTAAGTGTGCGTCTGTGTGCATATGTGTGCGAGAGATGGATTCTGGGATATATGCGCGCGCGCTCATGTAACGGTTAATAACGGCAATATGCTCTTGTTGCCATACATAGCCAGAATCAATTGTACATGCTTATGTACGTACATATACATATACATCGCATATATATACATATGCATACACTTACCACTGCGAATTTTTGATTGCGATAAAAACATGCCACGCCTTCTTAAAATGTATTGTATATATGTATTTTTGTCTGTTTTTTTTTTTGTAGGTATTAAAATGTTGCGTGTAACACGATTTAAAATATAACTCAATTCAACATGTGAGTGTGATCTAAAATACGTTCAGGTTGTGAAATAACTTGGGAGACACGTACACAACTAGTGGGTAAAACCAATTAACTGTTGATAAGGACCACACTGAGAGTTGACACAACTGCAACGGGAAAGAACCGACTTTAAACTAAATTGGTCTTTGTTAAGCAACAGCTATCAACAGGCTAAACAAGCGCTGTAGTGTGACCAGCCTGTGCATTGCTAACTAATCCGATGAACAGTATTTTCTCAAGCAGACCAGGTCCCTCTGCAGAAATCAATTTCGTATCTTAAGATGAAAACGGTTTATATTTATTTGTAAAGTTAATCAATCTTACATAACTAGTAAAAGAGTATATAAATAAAATCATTTATTTTTTGGCCAGCTTCAGCTTCTCGGAGCCAAATATGACTCCCGTATCAACAAGCTTGCGTTTCATAGCAAACGGATTAACGGAATTCAGGGGCGAACGTTGCTCTCCATCCTTGCAGTCGCTTGCCTGCGACTCTGACTCGCCAAATAAATTCTCCTGTGTATCCAGGGCTGTGGTTACATCTGGCGTTGCCGGACGAGATGCTCCTGCAGCAGCAGCCTTAAATAAATTTGGAGAATTGGAGAAACGCTTTAAGGCGCCCCGCTTCGAGGCACTCAGTTCCATAGCCTTAGGCGCTAATTTCGGCGTTGTAGTCTGCACTGGAGCCATCGGCAGAACAATCGTGGCCGCAATACCGTTGGCGCCAAGTAGCTGCTGCTGCTTGCGCGCTTCCTGAACTGCCTCCAGTTGCGGCAGCAGCTCGCATAGTCTATCTGAGAGGTGAATGCGTCCCCGTTTCGAAGCATATTTAACAGCTAGCTGGAGCAGCTCTGTGCAGGCGATAGACTCGATTAGCTCACGTGCCCGCGTCTCACACTCGCTACTGCAGGCCAAAGCAAACAGCTTTATGGCCGTCTCCTTCTGTATCTTCTCAGCGCCTTCCCACTGCATCAAGCTGGCTCTCAATAGCGTGTCCTCCAGCTCCGATTTCTCCAGCTCAATGTCACAGAGCGGCAGCTGCATGCGCAGCTCCTGCAGCATAGGACGTGGATTAGTCATGGGATAGGAGCTGCCGCGACAGAGAACAGCCTCAATAATCTGTCTGCGCTCTGAGAGAGCAACTATGAAGTAGTTATTAGACACACTGGAGCTCTGTTTTAGGGTGTCGCAGATGGGGAACCAGGCATTGCTGGCACGACGATATAGCTGCACCAGACCCATGTTATCCGCAAAGCAGGGCGAGCCCACATCCGAAAATCCAAGCCAGTTCAGTTGTCGTCCCGGTGTCAAAGGCAACGCAAGTTGCTCCACGCGCAGGCTCAAGCCACTCACATTAACCAGCATGGCAGCCAAATGTTGTTGACTCTGGCTGCAGCCGGCGGCATGATAAACGCACAACACGCTATTCTCATGTCCGGCCAATGCGACCACCTGTCCAGGCAGGCTCAGCACCTCGCGCTGCGTCCCCATTACGGTAAACAGGCGCAGAAAGTGATTACTGGTGGCCACGGCAATTAGCTGACTGGTGGCCACCAGCGCCTCCACGCTTTCGCAGTCCGGCAGACTCAGCGACCACTCTTTGTTGCCAGCTGCGGCCAAGGCAATGACTACCAGCTTGCTGCTTTCCGTGGAAGCCAAAGCCAAGGCGCTACGACTGAGACTTGCCAGATTATGTTGGTTGTAGTTGTTGCTAAGGTGCAGCGCATGATGCACGCTTGCATCGTGGAATTCCACATCGATAGCTCCATCACCGCTTGGCTCGGTATGCGCTGTCACAATACCCACTTCGTTCCAGGCCAAATAGTGATGTTCCAAATCAACTGGTGTGGCGCCTGGCTGAAATGGAGCCTGCTGCTTGAAGAGCTTCAGCTGGGGAACAGGGGGCACAGTGGAGCTGCTGGCTATGGAGTGCTTCGACTGCTCGTCGTCTATTTCATCTGGCACATACCCCGATTTGCTCATCACTTTACGTTTCAGCTGCTCCAGGCTAACTCCATCGCCGTCATCAGCCTCCGCCATATCCTCATCGTCGCCACCCTCAAATTCAAATCCAGTGCCTGTGAGCAACTCATCCTGCTCCTCCTCTAGCTCACCATCCAGTCCGCTTCGTGTCTCTTCTTCGCCCAGAAATATGGTGCCCAATTGTCCAGTAGCATCGCAAAAGGCCAGCTCATCAGCAATAGCTGGATTCCAGGCGAGGCACGTGATGGATTTGCAGTCGCTGGGAGGTGCTTCCACCGACAATGCCTTACGGCGCACCACATCGAATATGCTGAGCTCCCCACTAGTGGTGCCCGCTGCCAAACGCTCTCCGTTCGGCGAGAATTGGCAGCAACTGTAGTTGCTAGAGACACGATCATCCTGAAGCTTATAGGCCACCTCCCAGTTTGAAGTATTGAGCACAATTATCTCCTTGTCTAGCGCATAGGCCAACTGTTCACCCCGCTGTGGCTCAAAGCTAGGCGTCCCGAACTGGCTAGCGCTTTCAAAGCTATTTACTCGCGGTAAGCCTGATATACTCTTCAGCTCCTCGCCCGTCTCAAACTGCCAGACCTTAAGCAGACCGTCTCCGGCCACCGAAGCCAACAGATGTCGCTCAGCATACAGATCGAGAGCTAATACAGGTCCCTTGTGCCCCTCCAGCGTGGTCTCAGCTCCCGCATTGTCACCCTTCAGCACTTTTATATGTGTATCCTCGCTGCCTGCAGCTGTAAAGGAACCACTGACTCGTAGACACGTAACAGGTGCGGTGAAACGCATGAGTATGCCATCGCTGTCCATGTCGGGGAATGTATATGCGTGTACCGTGTTGCGGTCTGTAGAGGCCAGCAGTCGGCTTCCCGTGTGCGCAATGCACATGACAAACTCGCCCAGGCAGGTGGAACGGGGATCATCGTCGCTGATGCAGGTCCAGTGGCGTATATCGCCATCAGTGCCGCACGTGATCATGAAATCACCTTTAGGCGTATACAATAGTCCAGTGTACCCATTAGTGTGCGCATAACGCAGTGAACTGCGCGTAAAACTCATTTTTGTATTATTATTTATATCCGAGATTTGGTTCAACCACGACCTTCGTTTGCTCAGCGTTTCGCGCCAAAACAGAACTAAGCAGTGTTGCACAACGTCAAACGTCATTTGCAGCGCTGACTGGCTTGCCAGTCCATGTATTAGTGCAAGCAAATTACGATTTACTTTTGCTCTTAAATTTATTTATTTATCACTACACAGACAAACTTTAAATCAGATAAAATATATATGCTTATAAATAAATTAGTAAATACCACACTCACCATCCACAACTTATATGAACAGCGTACCTGGCGTGCAATTTATCAGCTGATTTTATGGGACGACGATAAAAATAAAATATAATAATTCAACACTGTGCAAAGAAATATAAATAATTACAAGTGCATATGTAAACACATAAAACATAAAGTGCATAAAGTAAACAAAAAGTAAAATTTAATTATATTAAATATTATTATATACCGACTTTATGTCATGGACCCCACATAAACACAGCTGTTTCCCTATAGTATTGTTTTCTTAGCTGCTGCCGGCATTACGGCACAATATTATTCAATAATGCTCAAAACGTGCGCGAAACATTTAACAAACAATTATGGCACAATGCGCTGCCTTTCGATGCAGCCATCGCATATGAATATTTTCGACAGAAATGCGAAACGACTACAAAAAGAAAGAGCGGCACTTAAGTAAGATACTCAACAAAGTTTCAGCGAGTTCTTTTATAGATATTTATTTCCCAACAGCACAGATGTGGCGCTATATGATTATCTTAAGGAGGAGGTGGGCTTCCGTTTATCGGATCGTGTGTTTGACATAAAGCGCGAATTCAAAACCGCTGCCGATATAGGCTGCAACCGTGGTTATATATCAAAGCACATCCTCGCCGAGTGTGTGGAGCACCTGACCTTGACCGACACAAGTGCCTCAATGCTGGAACAGGCGCAGGGCACACCAGGGCTTCGAATGAGCAAATTAGTGCAAGACGAGGAGCAACTGGATGTGGGTAAACGAATGAAATTTATGCATTAAACTATTGTTTTAATAATTTGTTATCCGTGTAGTTTGAAGAGAACTCCATGGACTTGATAATATCTAGCTTGAGTCTGCACTGGGTCAACGATTTGCCTGGCTGCTTTGCGCGTATTAAACGTAGCTTAAAGCCGGATGGCGTGTTTATTGCTTCGCTATTTGGTGGTGACACGTTGTACGAGTTGCGTTCCTCGTTGCAGTTGGCGGAGCTGGAGAGAAAGGGCGGAATCGCCCCTCACGTTTCGCCCTTTACTCAAATACGTGATATAGGCTCGTTGCTCAATCGAGCCGGCTTTACGATGTTAACCATAGATACGGACGAGATAGTCATCGGCTATCCCAGCATGTTTGAGCTAATGTGGGATCTGAAGGGCATGGCCGAGAACAATGCCGCCTTCAATAGACCCGCCCATCTAAGTCGCGAAACTTTAATGGCAGCGAGTGCCATTTACAAGGAGCTCTACAGCAAACCGAACGAGGAAGGCGTCCCAGCGACATTTCAAATTATCTACCTGGTGGGCTGGAAGCCGGGGCCCAATCAGCCGCAGCCACTGCCCCGAGGCACTGCTGACGTATCCCTTAAGGATCTGGGCAACATATTCGAAAAGGGCGGCAAAATTAAAATCGATGCCGAATCTTAAGCCTATGAATATTTGCCAAAATTTGCTAAATAAATCGTATTTATGTTTGAAACGCACTTCAAAAATTTAATTTACAATGAACTTGTAACTTAAATAAAGTTAAAATAAACTTATTCTGAGAAATGTAAACTGCTAATAAGACGAACATAAAGTTCAGTGCGCACTGAACTTAATTTACGCATGTACTTAGTTGTTTTTCCACTTTTTTTCAAATATATAAATTACTTAAATTTAATATGTATATATATAGTTGGGCATACAAAACAATACATACATATATTATGTAGATAATTATAATTATAATCATAATCATTCGTTTGCTCTGGTTGTATATATGTATATATCAACTTGCTCACTTGCTAATATTTGGTAGCATGGACGTAACTTTTTAATGTATATATATATATATATGTATATATATATATATATATATATATATATATATATATATATATATATATATATATATATATATATATATATATATATATATATGTATATATATACATATGTATATTGTTTAACGTTGCTTTGTATTTTGTTTGGGTATATATATACAATTTACAACATGCCTATAATAGCTCTATAATTTCATATTCTCTTTAGTTTATTTTGTATTAAATACATGTTGCTCTTGCTACAAGAAATATCTGCATTTATTTCTCGATTGCTTTTCTTGCGGTTTATTATTTTATATTTTTTATTGATTGGGAGCTTGGCCCTTGTCAGTTGTTTTTTGGCTCTGTGCAATTTCTTTGCAAGCACACTCTGTTAAGTATCTATATACAAAATCTATAGGCATATATATATATGTTTATATACATACAAATAAATTTGCCGATTAATTGATTGATTGCGAACAATTTTGTTAGTAAACCGAACTAGAAATTTGAGAAACTTTTTTTTGGCTTGCGTTTTACATTACATTTAAATATCAGTTTTCTGTGGCAAGGCGACAAAGCTTAAAAACTATGCAAGAACGACGATGACTGGACGTGGAACACAATTAGAATGTCTTAACGGTTAAGTATGGCACTCTGACGGGTGTCGATGTTGTCGTCGTCGTCGTCCTGGCTGCTAATCAGCCCAGCGCCAGCGGCGAACGCGGCGGCACGGGTGGCGGTGTTGCAGTGTTTGTTCTAGTGGTTGCATTGCTTGTTGCAGTTGTAGCAGTGTTTGTTGTAGTGGTTGTTGTAGTTGCTGTTGCTGATGTTGCTGATGCTGCTGCTGTTTTAGTGTTTGTTGCTGCTGCCGCGGCGGACATCGCTTGAGATGCCGGCGGCAGCTGACGTCAGGTGCCCAGCAGCATTTCACGTTGCGGTGCATTTTGCAGCATATTGGCGGTTTTCAAGTGAATGCTGCAATAAACGAATGTTTCAATCATTAACTTATTAATTGAAAATCCCAAATTGAGTAAATGCAAAGACTTTACTTATTGTCCTCCAGCGACATGGTTTCCGATGAGCCGTGAGAGGCAACTGAAGTACCTGCAAGCGAACTTCGAATTGAGTGCGAGTCCTCGGGTACAGTAAGCGTAACTAATAGTTTATGTATTCGTTTTGGGTTTGATTTTGATTTTATAGAAAGAGAGTGATATAGTAATGTTTGCCAATATGTTTAGAAGTAGTTCGTTGTTTTCCAATTGTTGCGTTTTCCAATGTTGATTGAAGATTTTTGTATTTTATTTTTAGGGATTTTTTTTTTTTTTTTTTTTTTTTGTTTGTTAAAAAAAAACAATTTAACATTAAGTTTTGATTGCGAATTGGTTGTTAAATAGTTTGTTAGTGTATGTTGTGCAAAATAAAAATGATTCATATTTTAATTTATTATCAATCATAAGCTGCAATAGAGTTTGTCTAGATTCAAAGGACATGCAAAGTGCAATAAAAACATAAACTGGCAATAAGAAATGAAGATTTGCTTCAGTACAAAAATCATATATATTTATTTCAGTTAAATATATATATACATACATTTGTATATATATATGTCTATTTCATGTTTTTATCTAGAGCTACAATCTGAATTTGGCGTTCTGTGTGTTTTAAGTAGCAAATGAAATGATGTATAAATGCAAACTTAATTTAAGCAGAAACATAATTTAAAAATGCAGTTACAATTTTAATATATATGTGTAGATAGACTTCATTTATGTATATAGGGTATATATCAGATTTGTTGGCATTAATAAATACGTGTATAGAGTAGTTAATAGTTTAGGTTAAGTGGTTTTAGTTAGGCTGTGCATTGAAACTCGTTGTACGTATTGCTGGAATCGTTGGTATCTTAGGAATTATCAGTTATGTTTGTTTTTGGAATAAGTATATATATGAATGATTTCAATATATATGTAAGGATAATATCAGTTGCGTGTGTGTTTGAGAAATTTACGCTAAATACAAAACGTTGACATTAGACAACAACAAATATTTACGTTTAACAAATTTGTGTGCTAAGCAACAATTTTCGATAGCCAAAGAAATTAAATCTAATTACTAATTAATGTAAATTTGTAACTAATCAAGTGGCATTCAATTTGAGCAACGACAAATCAAACGAATAAAGTTTATAAATTCAAGTACAAAATTCAACTTAAAAACTACGACAGATATACGATTGTAGATTGATGAAATAAACAGACTACAGTCGCGTATTCTCCACGCTCAGCGCATCATCATCATCATCAACATCAACGTCAACATCATTAACAATAACGACATCATAGCTTTTCTCATTATGATGCTTGACTGCTTTGGCTAAGTTCTCCTGCGTCAGCTTATCAGTTCCATTCTCGACCAGGATTCGTTTGCTGTGCTGCTGCTGCTGATGATGATTCTCGTGCTGCAGTTGCACTTGCTGGCTTTGCAGCGCTTCCAGCGCCTTATCCAGATCGAGTCGATTGCGACTATTGCTATCGCTGCTATAGCTATGCCGTTGGTGTGACAAACGATCGGCTGAGATGTGCTGCATATAGGCATAGGACTGCTGCTGCGACTGCTGCCAGTGGTAGTTGAGATTGTTAACACTCTGGCTGCGGCTGTCTTCGGTCCCGGTGATCACAAAGCCATTGCCATTGCTATATAGCGAATAGCTACTAATTGCCGGCGAGGTGGCTAAACTAGTCATACTCTGATAGGTTTTCATTGAATACGCATCACCTACGAACAATAGAGATTATGCAGTGTTTTTTTGTTTCTTTCGAATGTTTTTGGTTTAGTTAAATATTCGATAGGCGCCACACAGAGAGGTTTTAGCATGTTTCCACAAGAAAAAATCCCGCGTAGACATTGCAATTGAAGCGTTTGAATAAATGCGTGTGATATACAAATGGAGCGGACATTGTTAGACAAATGCAATTCAAATGGAACATTATACATGTATATATACAAATCTCGAATGACGCGTGAACTGTGACGCATATTTAATAAGCGACGGTTTATGCTTCAGTTTAATCAATTTTATATACATAGGCAGTTTATCTCGCATTCATTCATCATTATATATACATTATTTTTTAGTTTTAGTGAGCACAACAACCACAACTCGCACCCGCAGCCCAGAACCGCAAAAAGAATACAACAACAGGGTATCACATAGTCCGGTCGTTAAATTTAGCCAATTACAATCACTTAATTGGGTCAGCGAACTTTGCGATGCGTACTCAATGCAACATTTTCTATTTTTGGTATTCATTTTTGGGTTGAAGTTCATTATAAACAATTTAAAAAAAAAAAAAACAAACAGCCTTGGAAATTAATAGGAAATTCTTAAAGGTCTGTCGTTATGTAGACATTATCTCTCTTAAACAAAAGTTGAAACCTTTTGGAATCGTATACAAATTAACCAGCACATTTAAAACAAAAGAGACAAGAAAAAAATAAATATACAAACATCAAATAATATACAACAAATGGGGAGATTTCATTACAGATGTACAAGACTAAATACATATGATAAACGCTTGGTAAAAATACAATTAACGAAACTGTATACAAAATTAAGACGATCATAAGACTAAATTGTAGTTGTAAATAAATATATATGTATATATATATTTAAACTAATTTTAAAGCTTGCACCACACACACTACAGATTACAATCATGTGTTGTTTATAAAAAGATTTAAAGAAATGGGTTTATTATTTTTGTAATTAGTAGAAAAGCAAGCGTTAGATATAGTGTATATAAGAATAGTCAAGTTAAGTAGTTGTGCCATTGAATAGGTATCAATATATATACAAAAACTCACCAGTTGCGCACTCAGATGTCTCATAGGACACCGTAGATTGTACTTCAATTGCGTTTTGTTCTTGCCTATCAATTTAACAATAAAGTGAATACATTATCAACTGTGTATAGAAATTGGATGCGCAAATGTTTGCACCTTGTTATCACATCTGTTAAGACTTGCTTTTCCGTATCGGTGTAGTCACGTCTGCGTCCAGTTTTCTTCTCGAGATCCGCCGCCACAAACACGCCGAGTGGCCGTGTGGGAAACTCATTGGTTTTCGCTGGTGGGGGCACATCGAGTTTCAGATCTTTCAACTTTTTCATGACACGCTCGAGCGCCTGAATGGCATCGTCGTCACTGTAGCCAAAGTTCTTATGCAACTTCACTTGCAGATATTCAATAATGCCATCCATATCTTTCAGACGCAATAGTTCGTCCTTGTGCAAATAAAGTATAGTAATGGCCATGGCTAATATAACACGATCGCCGTCAAGCAGAAAAATATCCCAAACACGTAAACTTAAACTAAAAGGTACCTGAAAATAGAAAAATATTGATAAAATTAACGGAATATAATTTGGCACACTCATCTTTTTACTCACGCGCTCCACAAAGACCACAAAGAACCACTTGATGGCATAGAGCAGTGCATCCACATTGTGTTTCATAAAATGTTTATGCAGCTTTCGCATTATCTTCGACAGAATGCGATCATGATGCTCGATGAAGCGCGTCAGCTTTGGAAAGCCCTCAATAAACAGGCCGTGCATGCCGTATTTGCGATCTGTGATCAGCGTGTTGAGTGCCCAGAATGCCTCCTCCTCCTGCATGTACAGCAGCAATACACCCGCCACACACGCCATGCCTTGGCAATAACCCAGCTCGGAGTTGTAAATGCTGTAGGCGTTCAGCACGTTAAACAGTGAGCATTGCTTCACGCTATATCTCTCCCGATAGGCCAGATTGTCACGAAACTGACGATTGACGTCCGCGTCGATTTGCCGCGTCTCAGTTGCATTTTCTTTGGCCATCTGCAGCATGCGAGCGTACACGCCCACATTGTTGTCCATAGACTGCTGCACATTGAGCAATTGCTTCCAAGCCGGCCAACGCATTCGATCCGGTATTCCCTTGTAGACCCGCTTGTGTAGCTTGTCCTGTGGCGGAGGCCAGTGATTCAGCATTTTCACCCATTTTTTATCACGCTCCAGTTCGATCTTCGTGCGCTGCACCTCCTGGGAGTCGCGAGACGATGGCAGGCGGGAATCGTGCATGAAGCCGTATCTAAAAACAAGATACATTAAATACACGTTAACGCTGACAATTGCCATTGCTGATAAGATAGCAGTATGTCTACTACGATTTCATCAGGTGCACAAATTCCTAACTGAACTAATTTTTTTTAATGCACATAAGACCTGAAAATGTTGAGCAAACATAGATATGGAGAACCTAGGTTTATTTACATTTAGATCTGATTATATGCTGGCTCCTCAAAGTGGATTAGCAGTTCTCTCTAATAAACACTTCGCAAAGATTTGATTACATTTATAAGATATCACGACAAATTATATATAAAGAAAGTAGCAATAGAATGTCATACATTCTATAAACTTATGCTCGAGAGGTATGAAAATGCGTCAGCCAAACTCACATTTATTGTGGCCAATAAGAGATTATTCTAAATTCGGAATATGCCTATATACTTTCTTTTTTTAAGTCTTTGGCTGTTCTTAAATACGCCCTCTATTGTTGGCACATGTTTGTATTGTTGCGATTAACAGTTATTTATGCATTAGTCAGCTCACAACCACACACACAGCCGCTAATCGCTTGAAACAAAGGAAAACAAAGTCCATCCTTACTTACTTGTCTGTTATGTGATAGATTTCAAATGTGGGATTCTCCCAGGAGTCGACGACGTTATGGGGATCCAGGCCCAGCTCATAGCGCTTGAAAATATCCTCACGTTCGTCTTCGGCGCGTTTCACTAATGCGTACTGCTGCTGTTGTTGTTGGTGGTTCTGCTCGCCATTATCGTGGGCGGGCGGAGCGGCTGTCATTGTGGGCGTGGGCAAGCAATAGGCATCCAAGTGCTGCTGTTGATGCTGCTGTTTTTGTTTCTGTTCTTCTTGTTATTGCTGTGGTTTTTGTTGTTGTTTTTATTCTCCGCTGTGGCTCCGTTTAGTGTTTGTGTGTGCTTGGCAAGAATGTTGAATGGGAGCGGCTGCTGCTGTTCGGTGATAGCGCGAAACTTTTTATTTTTATTTTTTTTAAGATAAAAGCGTACATTATGAGCATGCATTAACATATGAAAACGAACTCCAAAGCGCACATATACACGTACACAAACTCACACAATCATATAAACATATACAACACTCACTCACAGCAATCAACAGTAAGTCTTGTACATTCATTTAAATGCAAGTCTTCGATTTCACTGCAAAAAAGTTTGTTGCATGTGAGTGTGTGTATGCGTGTGAGTTTTGCTTTTTAAATGTGCAACAACAAAACCAACAGAGAGAATGTGAGTGAGAGAGCGAGTGCGCGCGAGCGTTACCAAATGACGTGATATTCAATAATATTTAAAGCGTTCCTGAAGCGGCATCAACTTGAAAACAACAACAAAATAACACAGAAAGTTGCTCAAAGAATTAAAAAAAACGCCCCCACATGAATTTCGTTAAATTCTGTTTTTAGACAGTGTTTAGAAGCATATTCTTTACAACTATCTGTTTTCACTAATATTTCTTTCCATGCATTTATCTTGTATGCACTTCCTGTTTTGATTTTGCAGCAATATATACATATATATATTTTTTCATTTTTTTGTCAACACTCACGCTCACACATACTGACACGCACTCGTAAGCCACACACTCGCACGCACTCACAAAGCGTTCTGTTCTGGTGCTTTCACTGTTTTCACATATGCTGATTTGGTATTGATGTGCTATCGTGTCGAATATTTGGTTTATTACCATTTAATTTTGTTTTAATTTATATACAATTTGTGATCAATTAATGAAAATGAGCACATTTGCTGTTTTTTTCAGCCTGCATGTTGAGCGAGTTTTGACTTAACAGAACGGACTGCCCCCACCTTACAGACTACTGTTTAGTTAACATCAACCAGCGTTGCCACCTCACACTACTCGTCTACCATTTGGCGCGCGTCTCTATGTGGCAACTGTGGCAGCAAAGAACTAGCTCGATACTCGTAAAGAAACTTATCGATAGCATTAATAGCTGGTTCCTGTGTCTTCGACCATTTTTTTTGCGTGTATGTAGTTTTAATTGTGCTGGTCGAGAAAAATTGTGTGAAAAGTCCATGAAAACGTTGCAAATACAACGAAAAAGTGTTGTGCTGTGCACTAAACGCTTACGCGTACTGAATAGTATTCAAAAAACAATGTACACACAGTAATTCCATTGAATAAAACGGGTAAGAAATGCACTATCCCTAAAGTGCGTAGCAAATTGCTCTCAACAAGAGTTCCCCACTGTACACACATACACACGTATATATATATATAGGAGACTCGATCAAACGAACTGAATTGAATGATGCCTGTCATCGGTCGATTGTAAATTATTTCGACACAAATCGAAATCAAAAAACTGCAATTAAACATTTTGCTTCGATCCATATTTCCTAGCATTTGTCCATCAAAGACGATTTAGCCTATACTTCAAAGCACTTTGCAACTAATAAGTTTTGGAGATAAACAACTGAGTGTCTTTGCTGTTTGTTCACTATGGTCTCAACGCGCCAAATGTGCGGCAATGCGGGAGGCGCCGGTGGTTATGATGAGGCGCCAATAACTACTCGCGCCACAGTAGTGCGGCGAACCACACATTATCAGCACCATCACCACCAGCCGCAGCAACAGCAGCAGCAGCAAGTGCAACAGCATCAGCGGCAGCAGCCGCTGGCCACCATCGCTCCCGTTTTAAATTTCCTGGACTTGCCCACGGAGCTGATCATCAAAACGCTCGGCTACTTGGATTATAAGAAAATCAGCAATTTAAGATTGGTAAGTGACAACAGGCTGCGAAGGAGAGGAGTCGGGGTGTGGTAGGTCTGTTACAAGTGCAAAGCGAGTTTCATTATTTAATCAATAAAAAGCAATTTGCAAAATGTAAGTAGAATGCGCGTGGGTCGTCGTTGGCTAAGTAGTCGATGGATAGGTGGTTCTAGGGGTAGAGGCATGTTATTCCACTACCTGCATGCACTTGTGCATGTTTTTGTTGTTGTAAGATATATTATTTTTGCCACTCAAAAGTCATCGGCGACTAGAGCGGAGCGTGGGTCGTGGCTCGAACGAGCGATTCATGTTTGTGCGTGCTCTTGTTTTTGGAATATTTATAATTTTTGCTATTCGAATGTCAACACGATAATGTGTCATAAATGGACACGATGGAATGCCTTTATGTGTGCGCAGGTAAACAGGAAAGAAGTTACGGTATTTGACAGACTGTAGAAGTATTACTTTTAGACTAGGCCTAGAATACTGCGAGCAATACTAAGAAATATACAAATGTTATCGAATATAAATTTAATTAAAATCTTATTGGATAATAGTTTGTAAAATTTCATATAGAGCGTTATTAGTTATAATATGTTGTCTATTCTAATTATTCTTTCAATTCAAATCCAATTGGAAAATATTTTGTAGCTTACCACATATATGTGTTTTAATAATGCTAATTTATGTTGTATCTTAAATACCTTTAATACAATTATTTTTATTAGTATTAAAAAACGAGCAAGTCGTGTCACGTAGAGATGCAATACACATCGCTATCTTTAGTTTTTTGTTTCTTGGGTTTTGTTATGCATTTGATTTTGTGTTCACATTCGTATGTTTGCCTATGTGTGCATGTGTAGCGCACGTGTGTGTGTGTGCGTGTATCTGAGAATATGTTGTGTAGTAGGTAGCCAGCCAATCGTAATTTGATATATTTATGAGATGCGCTAAAAATTTGGGATGCGGGTCGTTGCTGGCGCTCTGTGATCTTGCTGAATTTAAACAGAATTATGAACTTAAAAGTAATATATGGACATGTGTTGTACATGATTTCTTTTTCGCAGGTGTCGAATCGCATGAACGACATTTGCATGAATATGTTGAATGCGGCTTTCGCAAAGCAGATTAAGACGACTTTCAATCGCTTTCAATCGATAAAGTCGAGCATGCCGCGCCGCGAGTCGGCTCGTCGTCATCATCCGTTGGCCTGCGAATGCGACATTATCGAGACTTGCTATATGCGACTGTCGTTGCTCCAAATGTCCATGGGCAAGCACATCGAGCGTGGTCACTGCTGTTTCTTTCCGGGTGCCGTAAGTGAAGCTTATTAGCAATTAGTTTGGCCCTATCTGAATTCAATCGCTATGCCTTTGCAGATTCTTGATGAAGTGCATTCGATTTTGAACTACATCAGTATTACGCCGCGGTTGCAGCGTCCTTATCGTGTCACCGATGAGCTATTCGATCTCTCCACCATGGCTATGGAGTACTTTAAGGACCGCATTGAGCCTACTCTGCCGGGCTTGGCCTACTTTAACAAGGACTTTTTCCAATTGCCCGTTACCACAAAGCGGCGTAAGTCGAACTCATTTTAATTCTTCACCTGGTGATTAAAACAATTTCTCTACCAATTTCAGCTACCTTAGCAATTAGCTCAGATCTCTCGGACAGCTCGAATAACTCACCACCTCAGAACCACATGGTGTTGCGTAAGGGCATACGCAAGATCAAGCAGGGCATGAAGATGTACAATAATCAGCTATCAGTGCTGCGCACCGAGCTAAGGAACTGCAAACGCAAATCCGCTGAGCAGAGCAAACAGCTTGCCGAACAGCAAAATCTATTGGCGGAGCATCAGAAGCAGACGCTGGAATATGCCAATCGCCTGGACGAGAATGACAAGAAGAATGAAGAAATGGCACGCAAATTTTCCACATTGTTGCAGGTGCGTAAGAAGACGGTGCACCGTTAATATATTCGGTATTATATATATTTCGATCGCTGTAGGAACTCAACAAGTGCAAAACCGAGCTGCAATTCTGGCGCTCTAAGAGCCCTGCAATACCGTCGGTCTGCAGTTCATGCAATTTGAAAGTGACTCCAGTGTTACCGCACGAGGATTTAAAAGCGCTGGTCAATCAGGGTGTCGATCCGGATAACATAATCATAATCAACGATGAGACCGAGGCGGATGAGACGGCTGCCGCCAATGTAGACGGGTGTGAGCTGAACGCAAGCGTTGAGAACCCATTCGCCCTGCCAGATGAGGCAACCACATCCAAGCTGTTAGCCGTTAATTCGGCTGCCAAAAATCTCAAACGCAAATATGCTTCAACGATGATGGACAGCGAAATCGCTGCAACGTCCAATATAATTGCGTCCAATGCGACATCGCCGTCTCAGGATCTAGCGAGCCAACAGGTAGAAGCCAGCGGCAGCACCAGCTGTGGCTATTCGACGAAACTCTTTTATGGCAATCATCAACGTAGCGGCGTGATTGTGAGTCCAGTGTCCATTAAGCTGGTGCCAATGCTGCCTCCCAATGGCAATGAAATGGAAAAGGGAAACGAGCAGCAGTTGCAATTGCTCCAGCCAATCAAAAGTGAATCAATTCAAGCAACTGCTGAGTCCCATTTGGGCAATGTAGTTTTCGTGGAGCAAATGGAGGCGAAGAAGGCACGTAGAGTACAAAAGGCCAATAGGTGCTTAAATGCATCTGGCAAACGCAGTAAATAAGCATAAAAACATATACAAATTAAATTTTTTACTACTTATACATACACACATATATTTACATATAAAAGTCGCGCGCACACACACACACCCAGCGAAAGTGTGTGTGTGTGTGAGTGTTTGTGTGCGCGCAATGTAGTGTTAAAAAGTAAAAACAACAACAGAGGAATCAAATTAAATATACATGCATATATATAGTTACCTATATGTAATTGTATATGTATCTTTTACGAACATCGAATGCATTAGGCATTCTGATTATCATTATTATTATTATTATTACTATTACCATTTACAAAATGTATCTGTATGTTCTATACACACACACATAAATACAGCCGGAAGCAAAAAACACTTAAAATTGTTTGAAAACACATATACACAACAATTTGTATGTGGTTTTGAAATATCGGCGGAGCAAAAGCCATAATTATAATTTAAAAGCAGCATAATTTTTAATATTAGTAGCCACACAAAGCACACCAACACAACAAATTAAGGAAGGTGTGAAACAAAACAATATAAATCATAAAAAGAAATGGCAAAGAAATATTTTAAATAAAACTTTAATGCATACAAAATCAATTGCAATTTTCCGACGTTTTTATTGAACAGATTTGTGTTCTTCAATCAGCCATTGTTTTTAATCGTTTCAGGCATAATTTTCTTATTGCGCTATTAAAAAACAAAAAACGGCAGTAACCGACAGTGCTGCCACTTCTTAGATTAACGGTAAAATAAGTTACACTGATAATAAATTATCAAATAAATTCAAAAAACCTAAAGAATACTGGTAGACGCCAATCGTGTAACAAATTCAATTCAATTTAATTATTTTAGACAAGCCATTAGCACCAAAACTTGTATTTAAAATTTAACGAAGTTTCATAAATCAACAAGGCTGCCACCTGTTTCGCATGGGGAACCATCGTTAAAATTGTTATAATAAAATCGGATACATCGTTCTCTATCTGCGATAGCTTAAATTACAATTGAAGCCGTTAATTATCGATATTTTCAACTAAGCATATTGAAAATACATAAAAATATGTGCGTCCAGTAAAGAGAACAATCGGCAGTCGCTGTTGCTTAAGAGACAACTAACTAAAAATAATCTAATATGTCTGTGGAGATACTCACGCAATTAGCCAAAGTACTTAGGAAAGCGCGGCAGCCAGTCGAGAGAGACTCGCTCCTGCTATATTTATAATTGGCGAGTTCCAAGTAAAGCGTCTGGCAGTCGCTGTTTGGTCGCATTGCCGTGAAAACACACATTTCGTCTTATTGTATTTTTGCAGACGTACAACACGTAATCAAAGCAGATGCAAGAATACAGCGAAAAATTGGAAGATATCTACGATGAGAAATTGGGCAGGTGCTGGAAAATCAGTGAAAACATCTACATAGATTAGTTAATATACATATGTATATCAAATTTTGCAGGCATTTAGTGGCCAGCCTAAGCATTGAGCCCGGCGAGACGCTGCTGGAGGAACAGCCTCTGCTGGTGGCGCCCCATTGGGAATGCGATCGACTAAAATGCGCTCAATGTTTACAGGAGTCGTATGTTATATGTCGCAGGTGCCAGGTATATCCGCTGTGCATGGACTGCAGCGCGCACGATGCGTTCGAGTGCGAGTTCTTCGCGAGTGGAGCCGGTAGTGGAATCGGAAAAGATCTGCTAATTAAGAACTACGGCATCTGTGCGCTGCTGAAGCTTTTGTTGTTGCTCGAACAGCCGGATCAGCGGGCGCAATGCCAAATACTGCTGGAAAGACCGGTTAAGCTGGAGGATTATCGTAATGAAGACGGAGTCTGGCAGGAGCATGAAGAGCAGGTGGTGCGTCCAATAATGGAGAGTGGCTTAGCACAGGTTTTGCCGGATCAGCAATTGACATCGGATGCCTTGCATGCTCATTGCATTCGCATTGATACAAGCGCCTACGAGGTGACCGCAAGGGATGGAGATACACTTAAAGGCGTCTATGTGCGCGGAGCTAACTTGCCACATAGCTGTGTCCCCAATACGGTGGTCGCTCTAGACGAGCAGTTCAATTTGAAGCTATATGCCGCTGTGCCCCTTGAGAGCGGCCAGATCATCTTCACATCCTATGCGAATCCGCTAATGGGCACCAGCCAGCGACAGCATCAGTTGCGAATGACGCGGCACATGGAGTGCGCCTGCGTACGTTGCTTGGATCCTACGGAACTGGGCACCCACATGAGCAGCATGAAGTGTCGGGATTGCTCAGATGGCTATGCCGTTTGTGATTTGGGCGGAACTGGCAATTGGCGTTGCCTCGATGTGAGCTGCGGAGCTGTTATACCAGCTGCCGATGTCCACGAGCTGCTCGCTGAAGTCGGCGGTGCTCTGGTCGATGCGAAGGGCGAGCTGAGTGCCTATGAGTCCCTCCTTGCCCAGAACAAACAGCTGCTACATCCCAATCATTTCCTCTTGCTGGACATAAAGCAGAACATTGCGAGCATTTTGCGTGCAGCAGCTCTCATGAATTCTCTGAATGATCCCTGCAAGAAATTGCTAGCACGTCGCGTGGAGCTCTGCGGTGATCTGTTGCCCATTTGTCGTGCGGTCATACCCGGCATCTCCAAGCTCTATGCGATTGCTCTGTTCGAGTACCTGTTGTCCTTTGTGGAACTCACCGAACTGCAGTTCTCCGAAGGCGATGTAGACAAAAAGGGATACGCCGTAAGTGGAACATAAACTATATGATCTTTAGTTTACTCTTAGCCATAATCCATGCCTAAATCCCTCATTTATATAGGCGCAACTGAAGCGTGCCCAATCGGTGGCCAAGGAAGCACTGGATTTGTTGCAGTTCGAACCAGAGAACTCGGCCGAGGGATTTCTAACCGAACGCATTGCCATGGAGTTAGAGCGCATCGAATCTGATCTAATGAAATACGGGAAACATTAAAATATATTAGAAATGAGAGTTTCGACAGGAAATGTTGAAATTGATGAAGATTTGTAAAATATGTAGAAAATGTAAGCTAGAAATTTTTTCATTTGGAAGAGAATCGCAAGCTGAAAACATCTCCTTATGCTGAAAAATTTCATTTCATCAAAAAATGGGTTTCTTCCTTACGAGGCCAAAATAAAACAATGTTTGGCAAACAATTTAATTGGCAATTCATGTTTTCAACAATATTTCCCTAATCCGAACTTGTAGCTAGAATGTTGGTAATACGTAAGGGTTTCAAAATATTTGAATGCTTAAAATTGAGATATTTTTATCGGTTGAAATAAATTATATTACATTAAAATCACGCTTTTCTTTATTTATACATACATATGTACATATGTATGTACATATGTAGTAAACAATACCTTCACACAGCGTACGCTCTGCTAACTGCGCAGTTGACGCAGCGACTGCACTCAGCCTGTAGTTTTGGCTACACTAAGGGAAAATGGCTGCTAAATAATTGTTCTTGTAAATAGACACTCCTTATTAAACTTTTAGTATGTGATAATGGCGCACATATGTGAATATTGACCAAATCACGATTCTCGAGTCTTGGAGATATATTTACATGTTATGGTATGGTGGAGTACCTGAAATCTACTAATTGTAAAATATTTGAACTGTCATAGAAATCAAGTTACGGTATAAAAAACTAGTCAGCTTATTGAATAAAGAAAATTATATATATATATATATATAAAAAATAAAAGAATAAAAATAAATAAAATAAAATAATAAGAAAAAAACCCTCCTCAATATGATACATCATTTCCCATCTTTATTTAGTTCAGGGTACACAAACTATTGATTTAAATGTTACTAATTACAAATTAAAAACATAAAATTAAAATGATTTTTATCTCTGACTACTATATTTTAACTAATATTGGTGGTCAACATTGTTAACAGATTTGGCTATTCATTTGATCAGACAGTCTCCCATAGCAGATAATAGAGAATAGCATAAGATATTTTATTTTATTACAATTCAAATTAAAAAATGATTCTGTAAAATTACAATCAGATGAATACACTTGATTCAGAGGGATATATCAATTATAAAGTGAACTTTTAACGTTTCCAGTACAATCTTCTATTTAAAAGTTGGTCTTAAGTACTAATTTATATTTTTTTAAATAGTTGAGAAGTTTTTTAAATACAATATATAAAAGCGAATATAACATTATTTAAAATCTGCGATTCGAATTCAAGATGTTTTCTGATTGTTTCTAAAGCAATATCCCAGATCGTGGCTAGAAGGAGTTCAATAGCCAAACAAAAGCGCATTCACTTCAGGTGTACGAGCCAAGGGGGGAGAGAGGTGTCAGCGACCGGGCGATGGGCAGAGGAAACGCACATTGAAATACAAATTAAATTAAGAATCGCTTTTAAATATAAATAAATCTAAATAGATACTAGAGTCTCAGTATCGCTCGACACAATATTGGGCCCTCAGTCGAAAAGTGCTAATTGGCAACACCAGATGCAAAACTTGGCCAAAAGAAACGGGGAAGCGTTCACATTTCAAATAATCATTCAGAATGGAAGACTTTGCCAATAAATGTGAACTGAAAGAAAACGAGACGATGGGCAGGTGGGTGGATTAAACCAAAGAAAACCTTATCGAATGACCAATTCATGCCCGAATTGAAATCCGTATTGATAGATATATTGCTGAACATTTTGAGTACCTTATTAAGTTCTCTATTGGCTCTACTAATATCAAATTAAATGACATGTTAAAACTATATTAATATCCTCCTCAGTTCCATATTTACTACACTATTTAATGCTCTGGAGAACGGCATATTAAACTTTATGTAGAAGAACATTTTAAATATCCTGTTGATATACAAACATACAATTATGGCATGCTGACGTATTGCCTATATTTTTCTTACAAAGGTATTTGGTAGCTGCTGTCAATATCAAGGCCGGAGAAACGCTGCTGCTGGAGCAACCTTTGCTGCTGCTCGCCAACAACGCTGATAGACGCTGTTGCAACTGCCATCAGTTAACCTCCACGTTTTGCGGGTAGGTACTTGACCAGCGTAATCCTGAAGAGCTTCTCATTGTGTGACATTTTTTCTGTTCGGGGAGTGGCCAGCAAGTGTCGTCTAATGCCGCTCTGTGCGGAGTGCGTGGATCATCATGGCCTTGACTGCCTACGCTTGGCGAAGCTGCAGCTGCATGTCGAGCAAGTGCAGCAGCTGCAAGCGAATGCAGAGATTGCCAATGTTCTAAAGTTTTTGCTGTTGAGGGAGCATGCAGAAATGCACTCTTGGTATGAAGAGCTACTACAAATGGAGGCACATCTAGCTCGTCGTCGGGACACAGAAATTTGGCGCACTTATCAGAAACAGGTGATAGAGCCACTTCAATCAGCCGGATTGTTGTTGCAGCTGCGAAATGGTTCGGAAATCGATGAAGACCTGCTGCAACGCATGCTTGGCATTGCGGACATCAATGGCTTTGAAATACGCGCCCCGGAATCTGGGAGTTCCATGCGCGGTGTCTATTTGAGAGCTGGTCTTTTTGCGCACAGCTGTGTTCCCAATGTAGTAGCGGCCATCGATGAACAGCATCGCATCAAGCTGTATGCAAATCGATCCATAGCCGCCGGGGAGATTCTATACAATTGCTATACGAACATTATGCTGGGCACGGACGAAAGGCGTCAGATTTTGAAGATTGGAAAGTGCTTTGATTGCCAGTGTGTCCGCTGCCTGGATCCTACTGAGCTGGGCACTCACATGAGCAGCTTCGTATGCTCCCACTGTGCAGGTGGATATATAGTAAAACAGCCTGACTCTAATGCGTGGCAGTGTCTGCTTAATCCGGAGCACATGCTGAACCCAGAATTTGTGGCAAGTGTAGTGGAACGTGCTAAGGAAGAGGTTTTTCATGCTCGCGATGATATTTATCGTCTAGAGTTGCTGCTGGCCAAGCTGGGACGTCTGCTCCATGGCAATCATTATATTATGCTCGACCTTAAACAGAATATAGCATCCATACTGAGGCAGATCTTGCAGAATATGGCACATCGACCCAGCCGTAAAGTGTACGAGCGTAAGATTCGCCTATGCCAAGAAATATTGTTGGTTCTTAAGGTTTTGGTTCCCGGCATATCCCGCCTTAAAGCAATTGCACTCTACGAATTGGCCAACACTCAAGCTGAGCTTGCGCGAAAATTGTTCAGTGAACAGGAGCATACCGCTGCAGATTTATTGGTAAAATATTCACATCTTTTTATATGTATATTTATTACTAAAACAAAAACTAACATTTATGCAGGGAGAATTGCAGCAGACTGAGATTATGATGCGGGAATCACTTCGCATGCTGCTTTATGAACCTATCTGCACGCCGGAGGGTCACTTGGCACGTAATATGCTTAGAGAGCTAAAAGAGCTTCAAAATGACATGAAAGTGCTGCAACAACCAAATGATGATGTGATTAATTAAAATTTGTTATTTTATATTTCAAAATACTTAAATCTTACTTTCGTGAGCGCCAAAATCGATTTCAATGAACTAGTCTTATCGGAACAAATTTAAAACGGCAATCAATAAGACAATTCTTTTTACTGGTATATGGACCACTATGCTCCAGAGTGACAATAATAGTCACAAAATTGAGTAATTGATTATAATAAAATAATTGTAATTTATAATTTATTGTGCATTATAAATAGTTTGTTTTCATAATACCGTCAAATTAAGTTCAAATTCCGTTAGCGTTAATGTTCGATTAGTCGATAGTTAGTCTTATCGAGACAATATTGTGGAGGCGGACGATATATAAAACTGCTTGTGGAAAGGGTTCATTCTGAGTTTGCAGCTTTACTATTGTTTAATTATACTATGCGTATTGTTATAAAGCTTTAAATTGTGACTTATATAATTGTGTTTGTTTAATATGATGGAGCTAACTTCGCTATTCTCATGACGATATTGAACAGCTGACTGGCCAAAATAAACTAGACGATTGATAAAAATGGAGACAATGCAAGAGCAGCAGCTGTAATATTAGCAACCCCAATCTGAAAATAGGGTGACAAAAAATTAAAAGTGGGCAGTGCACAAAAGCTGCAAGCGACGCAGAGACTGGCTGCTGTTCAGTCACAACTTGAGTGCTTTCAGAGCGGTGTACTCGTCAATCTAAACTAAACTCTCAGTTTTGCTTCCGTTGCTCAATAACTCGCTTCGGTTAGCTGTAAATTACCTAAAGAGAAACATCATGGAAATTTTCTACTAAACATGTCAGCAACTCCAAAGCATATCACACTATAGCAAATTGTGAAATAATTGCTTTCCCATCTTTGTCTACATTTGCTGATCTTTAAAAACCTCCTCACAAAAGTCGTCATGGCTTTGGCCAGCGCAGCGGGCGCCCTGCTCAAACCACAAACGCCGCTCCAGCAGCTGCTCGAGGACATTAATTTCCAGCGCACCAAAGAGATGCGACAGCTGCTCAAGGATGGTAACTAAAATTAATTGTTAATAATCTCATACTATAACCATGATTAACAAGAAACTACATATGCGTTATTCTGAAAAATTGTCTACATTTGCACATTATCGATTTGTCAAGCGGCCATCCGGCAACTCCTTCCACCCTTGTACAGAGCCCACACACATACACAGCTGATTGTATGTGTTCTCAGATTGTGCTCCGATTTAGCACATCTATTTGCATAAATACATACATATGCAAATTAGGATATACATATCCATAAAGATTTATTTGGGATCTAAAACAGCTTTTTAGCTCAGCAAAAGTTATTGTTTTTGACTTTTGCAAGTATGTAAATGAATATTTGTAATGTTGTGGTTTTTTGTTGGTTTTTTATTTTTCAATAGCATCTGAAATGTCAGTTAGATATGGGACTACCTGTAGTTTTTTTTTGTGGCGTTTGTACTGCTCCTGTATCAACGATTGAAGTCAACAAAAACGGGTTTTAATGCATAGAATTTTGATAACATTTTTGTTATCATGTTAAAGTAATTGCTCATCAAATTTACCGTAAATATTTGTATGTATATATTATACCATTTCAAATACAGTAATTACATCGAGAGCTTTTTAAGTCTAGTGGTATTTCCTGTAGTACTTCCCGTCCAAATTTTCTTTTTTCTAATATGATAAACTAACGCTTTATTAATTTGTTGTTTCAGATGGCGGTTTTGTGGTGCTTCAGGGCACGACCTACTGGACGGATTTGTTTGTGCGTCATTTTCTATTCCAAACGGAGCCTGTGCACAGCATCGATTCGGATGATTTGCTCTTTTTTGTGCGCAAAAAGCACGTGAAAAGCTCCTCGCGCCATATGCCAAAATATGAGGTGGGTTAATGTTAATCATACACTGACGTAAACCATTTACTTTTAATTTATTCTCTTGCAGACTGAAGTTGAGGTATTTCGCAAGGATTCACGAAAGCTGCCCATTGGCGATCCGGATGTGGATTGGGAGGAGACTGTCTATTTGAACATGGTTATACATCAGTTCGACTACACGTTAACCTTGGCCATATGCACAAGAACTTCACCCAAGGAGCTGCAGGTCCTGCGACGGCACTCGCAGCGGGTCTACGCGAGTCCCAGTCGCCGAAAGATGGATACCAAGGGCGAGGGCGAAGAGATAACCTATCCGCATATATGCTTCATGGTGGACAACTTCGATGAGGTGTTTAGCGACATATTGGTACGCGATGGCGAAATGGTCTGCGTCGAATTGGTGGCCAATGACAAAGATGGCGCCGTACAGGGCGTTATCTTTCTGGGCTCCATACGATACGATGCGCTGAAGAAGGTCTATGATGCCAGGGTTAGTGTAGGATAATTTAACGATCCATTTAATACGAAGTCAAATTAATATTTTGCTTTTACAGCAATCCAGCTTGAGCTCTAAGGTGGCGCAACGCATGTCGTTTGGGCTTTTCAGCAGTGGAGCAGGAGTCCAAACGCGTTGCGAATTCGTGCGCATGAAGGGGCCACAGGGCAAGGGTCATGCCGAGATGGCAGTGACCAAGCCGAAAGGCTCTGGCGTAGAGACGCCCACTAGCGAGCCTGGCTTCTGCGCCACGGACATGTGGGACGAATGGGAGGAGGAGAACGATGACTATTGCACATATCGTCATCAACGTCGACTCAGCGATCCGAGCGCGAATCTCAATAATTTTTCCCGCTACGGCTGGCGGACAAAGAATACAAACCAAGACATGGTGGGCAGCGGCACCAGCACCACTGCCGGCGTCAAAGCGCGCTCCGAAAACGAAGGACTCGACTCGCTTGCCAGCGAGGTATCCGAGATCGAAGCTGGCGACTTGCGCGATGGTAAGCAATCTATATTCTTTGTACATTTGTATAACTAAACGCAACGATGTCACAGAAATAGTATTTTTTATATATTTTGCATGAACTCCGCTCATTTGTAAATAATGTTAACCCACTTATAGTTTTTCTTGATTTGTAGAGTATTTCAAATTGTCTTTATTTTGTTTCGCTTTTCCTGCTCGCTTTGCTCTGCTTTCGTTCACTTCCTTTCTTTGCTTTTGTTTTCTGTTTCCTTGTAAACATGTTGTGGTTCCTAAGATTTTTCTTAAATTAACAAATTTCAAATTCAAATTAACCAACTACAATGTGTGTATATAAATATTTCCAAAAAGGAACAACAGGTATATACCTAATACTTGACTTTGCCGAGAAAGCAGGACAACTAAAAACAAAAACAAAAATCAAAAACAACTACAGAATATGAAATTTTTGTTTTAAATTTGCGTTGGCTTTTAAGTATTGCAATTTTAAAAAAATGAAAAGTACGGGTAATTTATTTAGGATCGGTGTTAATATAATATTAGAATAGTTGGATTAAAAATTAATATAAAGGGAAATATGCTTAGAAACAGATTTAATAAGACCATTAAATATATAAAAAGGAAATCCTCAGCATATACAATATATATATAGTAAAGCTTTAGATTTTTCTATTCCATATACAGCATATACTCGGGGAAGTTCATTGATAATATTCATAAAATACCGCCCACTCATCCACTGTAAATAGCTTCAAGGAGACTCCTTCGCTAAGTCTCCATTATGAGTACTCATTTTCCTTTTTCCTATGATATTCCATATAACATTACCTGCTCCTCAACGCCGTAACCACATATAGTGATTCACCCTATATAGCGCAATCCCGGTTTTTCATTTATTATTTTGTTAAGCTGCTTTTTTTTGTTTGAGTCTCGCTCGATTGTTGTATGTGTCGTTGTAAATGCTTTATAAAAATGCAACAAACCGATCTATATCTACTTGTAGATCAGCAACGTCCTGCTTTCTCGGCATCCGCTGCAAAACTGTACCCAAAACTGAATTGTGAATCGCTCAAACTGTTAGCTGTCCAAACAAATTTAGCGCCAGCTGGCATAGACAACGAAGCAGTTGCTAGCAGTAGCGCAACTGGCGACTCGGCAGCCATGGCTGTCACAGCGGTCACTCCCCCACCGCTGAGCGCAGCAGTCGAGGTGGTTACGGATGGCGGCAACGGAGGCAGCAGCAGCTCGGGCTGCAATTGCTTCGGTGGCAAGAAGTGCAAGAAACGATGGACATCGGTGAATAGTAGCGCGGTGGACACTCCCGAAATGTCGGAGGTGTACTGCCCCAGCTGCGAGGATGCGGCCAACGAGACGCCCGCGTGCCTCAGCAAAATGCCCGACAAACGGGCCCAGACACGGCTCAAGCCCAAGCCGCCGAGCATATTATGCGTGGAGAGCGAGCTGGTGGTCAGTAAGCGCAGCAGCCTGAGGCTTACCAGCCTAGAGAACAAGCGAAAGGCCGGCAGCAATATTACACGAAGCGTGTCCTTGAGCGCTGCAGATCGCCGAACGAGTGTGCCAATGCCTAGAAAGGTGACGCCATCGCGGGTGCGTCTGGTCAAGCCCAAAGAGCTGGACAAGGGCAAGGATAAAGATAAGGAGAACGACAAGAAATCCACAAATCAGAAAGCAAATGGTACCAGTACTTTGCTCGCAAAGATGTCACCAAAAAGGCTGCGGAATGCTCGAGCCGTCGATAAGGAGAAAGAGAAGGACAAAGATAAAGAGAAGAGCAAAGATAAAGAAAAAAGTAAGGAGAAGGATAAGGACAAGGAGAGACCGAAAGTCGCAATCAAGTCCAAAACTGGCAACAACAACAACAATCATGTCAAAGGGAGCACAGCTGCAGCCAAAACTGAGGAATACGAAATCGCCGATGATGCCACCTCCCTGAATGGCCAATCCTTATACGCTGACGAGGCAACATCTGCTGCTAAAATAGCCATACTCAGCGAAAGCGACAGCAAGCTATTGATAAGCGTGCGCGGGCGCGAGGAGCTGCCTGTGGTGGAGCAGACGCCAACGACACCATCGCCACCAGCAGAGGTGACGTCCGCGCAGCGTTTCGATAAGTGTATACGTGTACCTGTGAAATCAGAGAGCCATCCATTGCAGCTGTCGGCAGACAGCGCAAACAACTACAATAATGTGCAGCAGGAGCAGGAGCCGGAGTTGACCGAGGAGCAGTCGGCGGAGCAGCAGCCACTGCTCAATGGCGAAGCGGATGCGGCAAATGGCAACGAGACGGCGGGCAGCAGCGCCACATTGCCTCGCACATCAAAGCAATCCTATTACCACAAGGTGTTGCATCTGGTGCCCAAGCGCCGTACGCCCGATGGCACCAATATATACTACTGGTGCGATCTGCCCAAGAAGGCGCTCAAAGGTTAACTAAACACCATACTCATAATATAGTCCAATATCCACTCTGCATGTTTTATCAACTTATTTGAATATCAATTACTTGCCTCACTGATTTCTTTACATTTCTATGCTTGCAGAGCTGGACGATGGCGCCTATAATCCCCTGTGGACCAGTCGCGGGTTTACGCAATCCTTTCATTTCTGGAAGGAGAATCGGAGACAGCAATCGACGCCGCTCAACGCATTCCTCACATATGTTACACTGCCCTGGTGGAGCATAGCCAAGGGTGAGTCATACCAAATGATTGGGCTGATCGACTGATTGACCATACTCTTGGAGCTAGACAGTTTAGACGATTTCTATAGCTCTATTTGTTTTCCTAACAAATTTTCAATTTTTCCTATCTACATATATACATAGCTTTCGATCTAATTGTTAATTGAAAAGAAGTATTTAAAAACTTCTAATTGACTTCAAAGAGTATATCAAGAACTGTCATTAAATATATAATATAATTATAATAAGAAAGCATGGCAATGTTACTAAATGATATTTTTCATTTCATTTTCTACAGATCTTTTGGATCACCGGGAGACGCCCATACTGACTTTTTAGTATTAGCTTTGCTCGTCGCTTGTGATTTGCTGTTAAACTATGCTTTAAAGTATTACCTATACAGAAATATCTCCTTTTATTTATTAGGTCTGGCAAATCATGTGATCCTTCTTTAAGTTTACTTTTATATATGGAACAATGTTTACTTGTATCTCAGGTGGCAGCAGTTCAGCTGCTCCATTCCTTATAATTTAAATTTTGAATTTGCTTAAATAATGCCAATTCGAATGCCCGTAGCTGAGTTAAGATTTCTAAGCTATTTATTCAGATTAACTAGGGGGCATTATTATATATATATTTAGTAACAATATATATGTGAGATGAACGTATGTATTTGAATGTGCGTATAGCATGTTTGTATGTAAATGCAGCGCTGAGCCAACCTACAAATTTATAAGCTATATATATATATATATTGATATATACACCTACAAAAACGCTGCATTTCAAGAATATATAAAAGAATTGTTACCGGTAATAAAAGCTATGTATGTGTATGTATGTATGTTATAATACTATTGTAATTATGTGGAACATTTATACTATATACATATATATAGAGAACAAAATTGTAAATCGAAATAAAAACATTTGCGTACAATAATTATTAAAAGACAAATTGAATTCTTAAATGGGCTGATCAACAGTGAAGATCAAGGAAAATATTTGTATATATTTTTTCACTTCCTGCTTCTAATTGTCAAGAGGTTATTAGCAATAATACCTGTATATATTATTTTGATATAATTTGAATCTCATTTCACATACATAATTGAATTGTTAATTAAATCATAATTCATATCTTCAAATCGCACCGATAAAATAAAAAGAGGGCAAAATAAACACAAATCAGGACGGTTCAAAATCTATATCTATATTTGTAAATTTACGTTTGATATCAACATTGAAAATATCTTTAATATGTGATTGCCCATGCAGATGCTGCTTTAATCAGGAGAAGCAAAGTGCACATGGAAATCCATATGTGGCTTATATAGTACATACAACTATGTAAGGCAATCAGAATATATTTATTATATATGTATATATAAAACATTCACCCGAAGATAACTGGAAAGTGCTCAAATTGGGATTCAGTCGGTTTGCGCGCTTTGTCGGCGACGGTCGCGTATTGTTTATTCGCTCGAGGAAATAAAAAAGAAAATCTGAAAGATTATAAAATGTGGCACTCGCTGCCGTCGTTTATCAGCGTTGCTATTGCTCTCTGTCTTGTGGCAGGCGCAATTAGTCCAACGGCTGGCTGCCCCCGGGCTCCCACACACTTGCCTCACGGCCGACGTACACGCGGCGACAATGGATACAAATTAATTGTGGCTGATGGACCCAATGGATATGTACCCGGCAAGGCGTACAATCGTAAGTGTTAGGTGGATCTGAAAATCTTGCTATGCACAACAAAAAAGAAAAAACAAAAGCTTTTCTTAATCAACGCTAGGGAGGGTCATGGCCTTGTGACCCCTAAAACGAACAGCTCAAAGCGAAGGCGATAAGCAACAAGTATACAAAAGATGTGTGTGTGTGGAACGTGTCGTGTGTGTCTTTTATGATCGTAGCTCTACATTGCAGTATGTTTTGATATTATTCAAATAAAGTATTCATCAAAATGCTTATCATGTAAATTAAGTTTAATCAATCTTTCTTGTAATATTGTTATTTCCCAATGTGAGTTTGACAATTTATGACTGAAAAGTCAAAACAAAAACCTTTCTGAATTTAAGTATCGTCCAATACTCAAATATATATATTTATATGATAATATAATGGTTTCTCGACATAAATGTAACACTTTTTCATAGTAACTAAAGAGTATGTTAGACAATGTTTTAAGATCCTTATTCAAAAAGTTAAATAAGCTCGAACTTTGCATTAATCGTAAAGATACAAGTTATTCCTTCCATGATAACTGCATTACTCCGAGTCAAGGTTAACATGTAAAATATATATAGAATCCTTGATAAGGATAAAGAAATTACAATATTCTTTAGCTCTGACGTCTAAAGAATACTAGCAAAAATTTTGCTTAACAAATGATCTCTGATCTAGTTTCTGAATTCTTATAATGAATTTCCATTTAGCTTAGCATAAATACTATAAAACTTATGGCACATACTTTCCATATTTATGACACTTCAAACAAAATTAAATAATGATTCGTCTAAGTACAAAGCATGTTAAACAAAATATAATATACCAAGATTTAACTAGTAACTAGTTGAAAACTTAATAAATTTGGTTTATGGCACAACTCTAATGATTCAGGCCGTGCATAGTGCGCAAATGATTGAACAGATAGCCTTGTTTCTTAAAACCTCGCTTGCACTGTGGACAGGCGTAGCGGGACAGATGGGTTATACGATGTTTCTCATAGCGCGATTTGTTGCTGTTGCTTTCGTCGCACCACTCGCAATAATACACCCGACTATTTATCTTGGGCAGAAAGGCGAACAGCTGTAGATAAAATTCAACTGCACTAGACAGCGTGACCTTTTTGAAGAACTTAAGATCGATTTGTTGTGCATGCCAGGTGTTGATTAAATTTAAAATGCGCTTCACTTCGCTGACATCCAAGTTGAATTGAAATTCCGCATTCGTCTCCTCTGTGAGAAGAAGCAGTTCCTTGAGGACCTTCTGTGTAAGTTGTGTATTAAATCTCTTGCGATTCCAAACAGTAGTATATTGCCGCAGCATATTAGCAAATTTAGCTGCTTTTCCTCGTATTAAATCGACGAATTCAATCGGTTTTACTTCCTCAAAATCTGCATTCTTTATGATGGATAGCTGCAATAGAAAGTTAACAGTTAAGTTAACATTTATTTATTCATTTATTTATATTTTTTTTCTTACCCCAACTGCTTTAAGGAGGGTCATATCGTTGCGTAGATCTTTGTCTACTGAATTGATTTTAATTTCTGCTTTTTCCTGCTCCGTCTGTGTGCTCAATAGCTTCTGTACCTGTTGCTGTTCGCTTGGTATTGCATTAGGTAAAGTGTCAGAGGCATTGCTGTTGCATTGCGCATTGTTAGGAACAGCCAATTCCAGCAAGCTATCCGCATTCACCAATGAAGTTTGTAGTTCGCTCTAGCAAAAAATTAAATAAAACAAAAAACAATCATATCTTTATAATTTGTTGCCGTTTAACTCTTTCGCTTACTTGGAGAAACTCTACGGCGCTTTCGGATAAATCGAAATTCAGTGAGACTCTGTTAGATGTATTTTGTTCCGCTTTCTTACACAGTGTCTCAAATACAACATTTGCAGAATCTTTCTTCTCGTTCTCGGTTGTATCTACCTTACTATGCTCGACGGTTTTTGCTGGCCGAGCTGGCATTGTCTTCTGTCTATTAGCTTCAATTGTCGATGATTGTGTCTCTTTGGCATGATTCTTCGTAAGCGTCTCAAGATGGTTTTCATTGGGATTCGAACAGTTTTCCGACTCAGATTTAAGTTTTGCATGGCGGACTGGAAGGGTTGTCTTAGCTTCAAGTTGAAGATTTAATTTTGTGGACGATATCTGCTTCTTTCGGTCGATTTGGGCAAGTTGGTCTCTAATTAAAGATTCCTTTTGCTTTGCTATATTTTTAGCTTTTACTAGCAAGTGATCTTCAATGATATTGAATTCTTTAGTTGGCTTAAATGGCACCCGGTTTGTCCTACGGAAATCGCTTTTTAACGAGCTAAATATGCGTTTCTTAATAATTTGCAAACGCTGTTGCTGCTCTCGCTTGCGCACAGAGCGCGAAATAGCATAACTTTTATAATCGCAAGCCAACTTTGGTTTTTCAGGTTTCTGTGTTTTGTTTTTAGTTTCCGTTTGTGGTCTTCCACGCTTTGATTTGTGCTCCTCAATGGATTGGATGGGCTTTTCGGTTAGGTCTACTGAACTAGGTTTGGAGAGCTCAAAATCTGGATTTTGTTTCAATTGCAATTTATGATCGGAGCAATCTTCAGACTGAAGCTTTGGTTTTTTGGGAGCTGATGATTCCTCAGCTCGTGGCTCAGAGTTTAACAACATGGCCTCCACTTCCGCTATGACGTCTTTTGCTTGATCAGCTACCGGCAGGCAATTATCCACTGCAAATATATATATTTAGATCACTTTCAACTAGAGCAATTCATTGGACTCACCTTCCGCTTGCCACTGCAAAACATTTTTGGGTGAATTTGTTTTCTTGCTGGCTTTCGTTTCTTGGTAGTCCACTTCATAGGTGGCCAAGGCTTTCAATATATTTTTATTCATTACGATGCTCGCTATTGCATCGCTTTCCATTGTGCAGCTAATGACGCTACTCAAGCATCCAGTTGATGCGTCTGTTGCATCTGCCGCATCAGCTGGCATTCCGGAATCGCTACTGCTGCTGCTGCTGCTATTTGCTTGCAAATGAACATCGTTCTGTGTGTCGGTGGAAGACATTAGTTCTTCCATGCTATAGACATTATGTGCTTTGGTAAATCTAAGCACATCGCTGTGCATCCACTGCAAATGATGCAGAAACTCCGACAGATTTGTGTAAATGTCAGAACAAAAACGACAAAACATCCCAATCATATTGTCTTGCGGTGAAACGATCACATCGCCACACTTTTCGAAAGTCACACAGCCATCCGAAAGCGAATTGAAAAAGCAACTCATCTTTATTTATAGCTATTGTTTTGTTTGTAATTTTAAAAGCAATAACTGAATAACAATGCGAACTGAAAACGCGGGATGATCGAGTATGAAAGCCACTGTACTTAGCTATCGATAGCACGAATAATTGCAATACGTAAAATATCAAGCTGAGCTATCGACGCTGGATTTCATTTTAACCGAATCTCTTTGTTGAAACTATCGATAAATAGCGCTAAATTAATTTAAATTTTAACGAGTCTTTCCTTGTATTCTATTTTCAGTACTGTTGCTTGGCGCTCGCACCCATACAAAAATCCAACACTTTACCCACTTTACTATTGCTGCTGAGGCACACACTGGCGGCAGACGGTCCCAGGTGGCCAGTCCACGTCGTGTTGGTCGCTTCCAGCTTTTCAGCGATTCACTTACCAAATTTAACGATCGCTGCGTCAATACAGTCTCAGAAGCCGATGATTTACCCAAAACAGAGGTGCAGGTCATGTGGGTTGCACCCGAGGCAGGCTCGGGTTGTGTGTCGCTATCCGCCATGGTGTACGAAGGTCCACGTGCCTGGTTCTCGGATGACGGTCAGCTTACCCAAGTGATTTGCGAGCACAAGCCAACCGCAGCAGATACGCAGAAGGAATGCTGTGCCTGTGATGAGGCCAAATACAGCGTAAGTTGGAGATATATAATCAATATAATCCATATGCATAATCTATGAATCTTCTTGGCAGTTTGTTTTCGAGGGCATCTGGTCAAATGAAACGCATCCCAAGGATTACCCCTTTGCCATCTGGCTGACACATTTCTCCGATGTGATTGGCGCTTCGCATGAGGCAAATTTCTCCTTCTGGGGAGAGAATCATATAGCCACGGATGGGTTCCGCTCGCTGGCTGAATGGGGTTCGCCCACGGCCCTGGAAACGGAGCTGCGTGCTCAAGGTCCCAAACTGCGCACGCTCATCAAAGCGGCAGGGTTGTGGTATCCAAATGTGAATCAGAACACTTCTTCCAAATTTCGAGTGGATCGCAAGCATCCCAAGATTTCGTTGGTATCCATGTTTGGTCCATCACCTGACTGGGTGGTGGGCATTAATGGAGTAGATCTTTGCACCTCGGACTGCAGCTGGAAGGAGTCCATGGACTTTGATCTCTATCCCTGGGATGCGGGCACTGACAGCGGCATAACTTATATGGTAAATAACTCTGGCTTATTCTAAGTTGTATTCAAACTAACTGTAATATAACTCTAGTCCCCCAACGCTGAGACTCAGCCACGCGAACGCATGTACAGGATTACGACTATGTACCCCGAGGATCCACGCGCACCATTCTACAATCCAAACAGTCAGCAAATGACGCCGCTTGCGAAACTCTACTTGCGACGCGAGAAGATTGTCTCACGAAATTGCGATGACGATTTTCTGCAAGCCCTGCAATTGGAGGTATCCGATGATGCCGAGGAACAGGACACGCGTGGTAAGACATATATAACCATATACATAGATTATTAACCTCTCTAATCAATTTTTAATATTCCTTCTTAGCTGAATGTCGTGTGAGCGGCTACAGTGCCTGGAGCCCTTGCTCAGTTTCTTGTGGAAAGGGCATACGCATGCGCAGCCGCCATTACCTAAATGCCGAGCTCGCGAAGCAGAGCAAATGCAACCGTCAACTGATTTCGAAGGAGATGTGCGTGGCGGATGTGCCGGAGTGCGACAGTGGTGCGGCTGGCCAAGATCGTGACGACGATGAGGGCGAAAATCTGGCCAATTCTCAATCGTTGGTCAATGACAATGGCGAAGGCGCTGGCATCTGTAGAACCACGCCCTGGAGCGTGTGGTCTGAGTGCTCCGCAAGCTGCGGCATTGGCATTACCATGCGTACACGCACTTTTGTTAATCCACAGGGACGTAAACGCTGTCCGCACATCACCATTGTGGAGAAGAACAAGTGCATGCGACCGGAGTGCACATACGAACAGGTGGAATTGCCTGATCCCGATTGTCCGACCACCCAGTGGAGTGACTGGAGTCCGTGCTCTGGTATATGTGGACTGGGTAGCACCATACGCAAACGTTTGGTGCTGCTGGAAGACGGCCCGATGAAGGATAATTGCACTAAACGGCTGGAGCTGCATCAACAAAAGGAATGCCAGCACGCCTTGGACTGCAACATCAACATGGAGCAAGCCAAGGAAATATGCGTGCAACAGCCAGAGACTGGTCCTTGCCGCGGCAACTATCAACGCTACGCCTACAATGCTCACTCCAATCGCTGCGAGTCCTTCACCTACGGCGGCTGCCGAGGCAATCGCAACAATTTCCTCACCGAGAATGATTGCTTGCAGACCTGCAGCAAGATACGTGGCGAGAATGTCGACACGCCCACCCACCTGCCCAAAGACTGCGTTATGTCCGACTGGTCCAACTGGTCGCCGTGCAGCGTGAGCTGTGGCTCCGGCTACTCCGAGGGCTATCGCTATGTCATCAGCGAACCGCAGCATGGTGGCCAGTCCTGCCCCAAGCGCCTGGTCAAGCAGCGTCGCTGCACCCTGCCAGCCTGCTAGATCCAGTAAACAACTACAAATTGGAGAACTACAGCTGCATCACTCCACACATATTTGTAACACTTTTCAAATAAAGTCGCAATAAACGTTTTGCTGTAATCAACGCAACACGCCTGTGTTTGTTTTAATTGCGTTTGTTATTATTCAAGACTTGGCATAATTAAAAGCGACTCGATTGTCATTCGTCTTTGCTTACATAAGCTGCACTTGAACTAAAGGGTATACTAGACTACAACTAAATTATTATATTATATATATTATTGCTGATTTTATTGGGGAAGATACGATTTTTTAAAACATTTTTTTTTTTTAGCTTTAGTTAAGTTTTAGTTTTGATGTTAGTGCTATATACATATGTATTTTTAGCAAAAAAAAAATCGAATTATACAAAGTTTACTCATAAAAACCCCAGAAAAACTTGAAGTAATTATATGCAAAAATAATTAGTTGTACAATGTACTCGCTTTTGATTATTCGGAAGCAATAATGTAAACTTATGTATAAACATACACCATTTTCTTAGTTAATAATTTTCGAATGTTTCTTATCTTATATTACCATTCTTATTAATATTTCAATTTCGAGCACAAATTTTGAGACTGGAATTTATTTCTCTTTTATCGCATTTATTATTTTTTAAGACTTTTGATTGTGGCATATGCATTAGCATTAAGAAACCTTTTGAGGAACTTTAGCTACTGCAACTTATATTCAGATAGATATACATATGTATGCTATATACATATAATGTCAGATCACAGTTAGGGCTTGCAACGCTTTTTAAAAAATAGTTATTGTAGTTGCCTGAAAGGTATTTGCAGAGCCTGGCAAATTACTGTTGTTTACTTTATTCAGCATTACACTTCGCTTATCTAGGCACTTATTGAGTTCCAATTGAATACTGTGCCAAGCGGCTGTCGAATTCCGGCCGCAGAGGTCACTTTCACTGAGTAGCCGAAAGTGTTGCAACCAAATGTCTTGAGTGTGTGTGTGAGAGAGTATATTTGCGTGTGTGCCTGTGTGTGTACGTGTATTAACAAGACGCTTTCCCGGCCACAATCGCAACCAGTTGGGCGGTTGTCGCATTTAGTTAATGCTAGCTTCTTGTCGAGTGCGTCTCGTAGAGCAATGGAAAAGTGCGAAAAAATATTTCCTTATGAGATTCGCGATGTGGAAGCTTCCATCAATGCGGATCTGCTGGAGTACTTCACAGGTGGGCAGTAATTGGAAATACTAAATATACAAATTGAATTTAATCGAAATACGCTTCGCAGGTGAGCGCACGGGCTTTGTGCAAGTTGGACCCGAGGGTTATTTCTTTCCATACAAGTATAAGGCCCATGCGGCGCAATATTACAATTTCGAGGCGCGCCCCGATGATATATGGATAGCAACCGTTCCGCGATCGGGCACCACCTGGACACAAGAGCTCATCTGGTTACTAGCCAATCGTCTGGACTTTGCACAGGCACAGCAACGTCCTCTCACTGAACGTTTTCCCTTTTTGGAGTAAGTGGAGATTCGAAACTTGCAGGATTTTTTCTTTTAATTATAAACTTTTCGACAGATTTCCCTTGTTCGTGCACGATGAAGTCAAGGCAGAGCTTCAAGCTGAGAATAGTCACTCTCCAGCTGCTCTCGAGTTTATTGAACAAATTTCGCGACCGGGTTACGAGACGCTGGGCGAATTACCTCACAGTCAGCGACGATTTATTAAAACCCATTTTCCCTTTTCTCTGATACCACCAAGTGTCCTGGAGAATAAATGCAAGGTAACTGATTCTAAACTAAGTAACAATTCGGTTATATTTTCTATTTTTTTTTTTTTCAGATCATCTATGTGGCTCGCAATCCCAAGGATGTAGCTGTTTCCTATTATTATCTGAATCGTTTGTTTCGCACACAGGGCTACGTGGGAGACTTCGAACGTTATTGGCGCTATTTTCAGCAAGGATTAAGTATACATCTCCAATATTAGATTTCTTTCGAAAATTTGTACAATTAACTCATTGCAGATCCTTGGCTACCTTATTTCAGTCATATAAAAGAGGCCAAGGCTCATAGTCAACTCCCAAATGTGCTTTATCTTAACTATGAGGACATGCTCGTAGATTTACCAGGTACTATATCCAAAGTTGGCAAATTTTTAAATTATACTCCCGATACTGTGGGACTGGAAAAATTAGTTAATCACCTAAGCATTAGAAACTTTCGTGAAAATAAGTCTGTCAACATGAATGAAATGGCAGAAGTTGGAATTCTCAGGAGGGGCGAAGCCGCATTTGTGCGTAAAGGTGGCAAAGATAATGACGCCAAGCAGCAGGATCAAAAAGAATTTGTGGATAATCCAAAACTATTAAAACTAGCTAATGATTGGATCCAGCAAAATACTGACTGTTCTATATCCCGATGAAATGTAGGTGTTTCATTAAAAACAGTAAAGATTAGCAGTCTATAATGGCACTGGAAATCTGGCTTTCAAAGCAATTTATGTGCTATTTTATAAGTTAATTTTTGCTAAGTATTAAATAAAAAATAAATATTGTACGTTTTTATCGT